TTAGAATGATATGGTATATTAAATGTACTATGTTAAATCAATTTGATTTTTCTACTTGTCCATCATTTCATAAAATTTGGTAAATAAAGTATGGTTTCAAGAGTTATATTCGGAGTCCTGGTGGCAGATTGGGTTATGTGTTGGGTCAGCAGTTTGAAACCGCCAGCCGTTGCAGGAGAAAGACGAGGCTTTCTATTGCCCTAAAGAATTTCAGTCTTAGAAACCCACAGGGGCAATTCTGCCCTGTCCTTTAGTGTCGCTGTGAGTTGGCATTGGCTTAATGGCAGTGGGTTTTTTTGTGTTAAATGAAGTAATAGAGAAGTGTAGAGCTCATTGGCACTATAAGAAGTGGTAAGGCAATATTACTATATCATTATTCACACTTGCTAATGTATAAATGAAAGAACTGGTGAACTGCCACAAGGTTGGCAGTTCAAGCCAACGAACCACTCCTTGGGAAATCGATGAAGCTGTCTGCTCTTGTAAAGACTTACAGCTTCAGAAGCCCGGTATTAGGTCATGGTGAGTTGGAAGGAACTCAATGGCTGTGGGTTTGGGAATGTATAGATCCCTTAATTTAGAAGTAGGCAGAACAACTATTCCATAAATTATGACTGGATCCACCAGAGTTTCACCATAGGTATTTAATTCTTGTGAAATGAAAAGCATTTGAAATAAAAATCAGTCATTTTATCGGAAAGTAAAATATTAGTTAAATCGATGCCAGTTTATTGTCTGTGTTAGGTGCCAGTTAGTAATGCTGACTCAGCAATCCTGTGGCCAACAGGACAAAACGCGGCCTGAGCCTGGGCCTGGGCCTGGGCCTTCCTCCAGTTGTTCTTACCTTTGAGCCCCTTGTGAGAGCCACTCTGCCAGTCCATCTGGTTGAAGGCCTTCCTCCTTTTCTCTGCCCCTCCATTTACTGAACCTGAGGTCCTTCTCCAGGGACTGGGCTCTCCTGACATGTCCAAATTATGTGAGAGGAAGTCTGGCTGGTCTTGCCTCTAAGGAGCATTTGTGTCTGTCAGTTTGTCACTGTGCTGGCCTTTGTGTTAATGTTGACGTGAAGCTCGGTGACTGGTAGTTCATATCCAAGCAGGGTCACCCACAGTGAACAGGTTTCAGCATGGCTTCCAGATGAAGACTATGAAGAAGGGGTGGGGGGTCCACTTTGAAGGATTTAGCCACTGAAAGCCTCATGCAGACCATCCAAAGATTGCATTAATAGTTCACTAAAAAGACCAGAAAGCGTTGTGTTAGTTGTCTAGTACTATTGTAACAGAAATACCACAAGTGGCTGTCTTCAACACGCAGACATTTATTTTCCCTCCGTTTAGGAAGCTCCAAGCCCACACTCAGGGTGCAACCCTGGGACAGGCTCTCCGATTTTGGAGTTTCTGGAAGCAGGTCCTTACACTTTTTATCTTGACTCCTTGGTGTTCTTCGTGTGATTGGCATCAAACTTTCTCTCAATTGCCTGTTTAATCCCTCTTATAACCCTGTAGTGCTTCATTTAAGACACACCTCCCAGGAACCCTGCCCTGTCAACATCACAAAGGAAATCTAGTCTCAAGTGCACTTGGAACCACAGGCATGGGATTATAGTTTACTGCACATACTTTTCAGGGGCATGATCCATAGCAGTTGTTTCCCCCTGCTTTATCTCTTACATAGAGGCCTGCCAATGGGTGAAGATAACATTTTATAGAAAAGGATTTCTGTAACACTTAATTGTGATCATGCAGAACCTGTACATAGATCTAGAGACCGTTGTTCTAAAAGCATAAGCGAATATTACATGATTTAAAATTGGAAAAGGTGTACAGCAAATTCTATACTTTCATCATAATTATTCAGTGAATAAGCCAAGCAAATAATCTAAGAAGCTGGACGATATGGAAAACACACCTTCAAGATTGGAGGAAGACTCATTAACATCCTGGGATAGGCAGGTGGCTCAGCCTTGTTACTAGAGATGGAGATGGCGAGAAGCACTTACTGAGGACCATAAAAGCTTTCCGTCTGAATTACGCCCGAATGTGTAGAATATGAAAACCCTCACAACTTGCCCACAGGCAGCCATCTAGCAGGTGCTGACGGGATCAGGTATCAGGTATCAAAAGAACAGCCCCCCTGCTGAGGGGTTTTGGGGAGGAGATGAGCTAATCAGGGTGCAGGATAACAACGATGAAATATACAACTTCCCTCTAGTTCTTTAATGCTTCCTCCCCCCGAATATCATGATCCCAATTCTGCCTTGCACATCTGGCTAGACCAGAGGATGTACATTGGTACAGATAACAACTTGAAACACAGGGAATCCAGGATAGATGACTCCTTCAGGACCAGTGGTGAGAG